TTATTTGCCCTTGCTCTGGGGGTCTGCTCCCCTTCTGAATACTTTAAATCTTTTCTTATATGGATTGATTGCTCAGGCGATTTATGTACTGAGATACAGATGCGCTATATAGTGCATCATGTTGTGAGCCCCAAAAGAAACAGGGAATCTCTCTTTTTTTATATAAATATATACATATATGTTTGTTTTGTTCTTTTTGGTTAAAGAAGTTAGCATATTTTTATACGTTGTTCGTACCATCAGCCTTTCACTAACTAGCTGCAGCTTTGCTTTGATTGGAAGAAAACTGAAAATTACAGATACATTCGGAGCAGTTCTCTTGCTTCTTAACCTTAGTTCACAAAGTAGCTAGTATTTATTTCACACTTGAAATTAGCAGTGAAAAAATGAAAGAAATTCTTACTGAGTAACTAATCTTGTTTAATGTTATGCTGAAGCAATAGAAAACTTCATACACTGTCACAGGTTTGTGTATTTAACTTTTTAATGCTTGCTTTTAACCTTAAGAGAGTTTGTTATATCGAGGTTGTTTCTATATTTGTTTTGACTAAAAATTATCTTTAATAAAAAGCTGGAGTAGTTTTTGTCTAAGAAGATAATCATCAGTGAGTATTTCACAGCTCCATGTTCATTCCATTTTTTACTTTACGGTTGCAAAACATTTTAAAATTATGTTGCTTTTTGAAGTTTGACAATTTCTGGCTATCTTATTGTTTCTTGAAATTACTCAGGAAAAAATGCACAGCATTTGCTCTATAAAACAGGTTTGCTTTATTGTTCAGTGCATTTTCTATGCAACAGTAATGGGGAATTATGACAGCACACGTGATAGACATACGAGATAAAAACCAAGTTATGTGGAAAATTGAACAGGGACCCATACTAAATGCACTGACCCAATAAAACAACCTTCTGTGGAGAACTCATGAAGCGCTTCAAGTTTGTGTTTGGGATATTTTGGTAACCCTTTCAGCTATAAGTTATAAAATACTCGACATCACCAAACTGTTCCTTTAGGTTGCTGTGCTGCTACAGCTATTTATCTGTGCAAGAAACTAATTCTGGAAACAGTACCTTTTGCTGAAATAGCTTGTTTTAAAGCAAAACTTTGGTGATGCCCACTCTTGCCTCGCAGTACAGAATCACTCGTTGAGCCGGGTTGGTGGCATCACATCGCTTTCCATACTCCTGTCATCTTATGCTTTAAGTTTGCTTTGATGTTTGCTGAGTATCGGAGGATTGAATCAATGATCTCTCTTGTGGTAGTTTGCAAATGTACAAAATGCAGCAAATGAAAATGGCTGTGCTGGGGTCTTAAAACTCTTTTCTTAGATTTTGTCATATTTCCCTTCGTGTCAGGTATAGTATTCCTTTTAAATGAATTTGAATTCATTTTGAAACCAGTCCATTTTAATTTATCCATTGCTGATTAAATGTCTTTAAAAATACTCATGTACTTTTTCGATAATTATATTGGAGTTTTCTTACTCCTGAATTAATGCAAATTTCCTTCATCAAGGGAGAAATACTGATTTTTAGAAAAGTGAAACAGTGCTGTGGTCAATCACACAGCTTGAAAACAGTTTAATGGCTTAAATCCTGCAGTGTTCGTAATCTCTGAATTGCACATAGCTGTGAGCACTATAGTTTTAGGCAGAAGTTATTTGTGAGTTGGCTGGCTCTTTAGGTACTTAGGTTTTTTTTTTTTTTTCCTATTAGCTTGACTTAATTGAATGATTTTCATGTTTACAAATGTATTTGAAGTTAGTTTACATTTCTAAAGCAAGAAGCAACTTAAAAAAATAGAATAGAATCATTGGTTCAGTTCTCTGTTATGTATAATGCATGATCTACTGTTATGTGAATTTGCTGCTCTGAGTGTCCCTAGCCATTACAGCAACTCTGACTTTCCAACTATTTTTGATATTACAGTGGACTAAAGAGGATGGACATAGAACTGCCACCTCTGCTGTCCCTAGCCTATTTGTTCCGTTGAACACTAATCCAAAGGAGGTCCAAGAAATGAGAAACAAGGTTTGTAACAGCAGTAAAGTGTTTTTTTTTTCTCTTTTTAACCATCTTTAAGTTGTATACTTGACATGAACTAATTTATTTTGCTATAATACAATCTGGGGGTTCAAAAACACAGCTTCCCAGTTGTGCTTATCCTTTATAACTAGACACAGAGGAAATTCCTCGCGTGGGGGGAAAAAAATAAAAACACTCTAACTATCCAATATATTCAGACTTCCATTGTTTTAGATTTTGTTATATTAAGACCAGTTTCAAAGAAAAGATATTCAGTATTTCAGCCAAGTCATTAATGTTAATGTTTTCTTTTTGACCGTTGCTGGATATTTCTGAAAAAAACACCATGGGATTTATGATATTAATTTTATTCCCTGAAATAATATACTTTCACATTAGTGACTTGTTTTTCTGTTTCTATTTTACCACTTGCAGTCATAGCAGTTGTAGTAGTCTACTGATCTCTTATATTATTATATTATAATGTGCTGTGGTTGTTGCAGGAATTTGGGCTCATTTGGGCCTGAAAGTTGTTATTTTTTGAAAAGGTCTAAGGAGCTAATCTTCCAGTCTTCAAATTTCAGATATTCCTGGCAACAATCTTCTGACAGGAAAGCTTTCAGTGTGTAGGATTTATATTTATTTATTTTTTCTTAATACTTAATATTTACTAGTTTTTGTTAATTCTTAGCTTGTTCTTGCTATTTTTGCTATGTAACAGTGGAAGCTGGCACAGGAAAGGCTATGCACGTGGCAGGAAACTGGCTACTGCTAGAAGTATTTGCATGAGGTTGAGATTTGCTTCTGTTTTTCCTGTCTCGGCCTTGTCAAATAATCATTATTTAAATGAGAAGCCCAAGGAAATTGCTCACTAGTTTGTGTTTAAGACCCAAAATGCTACCCTATTAAAAACCTAAAGGGTCTAAAAGGAGAGAAGGAAAGCTTGCTTCACAACTTTTCCTCCTCTTGATGACAAGAAGTGCAGTAAACCAGAAGGAAATTCAGTTGATACAGGAATTCTGTACTTAACTTCCTAAAATATCCAGCATTAATACTGTTTGCGTTTATACTTGTGTGTATGTATTTTTATATAAATTATATGCTCTTTTTAAGTTTACAGTTGTAAGAGGTCTTTTGGAATCTTTCATCTCTTTCTGAACAAGAAACAGGATATTTTGAAATACATTTCACCTCTGCTGTGATCTTTACTGTAAAAGGATATCTAATTTAAGTACATAATACTCCCATTTAAACACTGTATTTCTGTTCTTGCCCTTCTATATGGGAAGAACTGGGACATATTTAGAGTGCAACAAAATTAATTTTTGAAACCTCTGAAGTTACAAAAATTGAATGTTAATCATTCCTTTGTGATTCTCATCCATCCTCACCCTTCTCTGCAAAGTGGATTTGTCTGCTACCCAATCTCTCTCATTTCACCACAAGCCAGTACTAAAAAGGCAAGGACTGTATGTGCTGTGGTACTCAAATGCCGGTTTCTGAGAATTTTAGGAAGCTTCGTCACACATCTTCAACTGGGGCTTATAACCACAGCTTTATTTTTATGTACAGGGCCTTAAATATTTACAGGCGCAGCCTGTCAGCATGTTCACGAAAAGAACACGGTTCACTTTTCTGTGTTGTTCTGCTTTCCTTTACAGATCCGGGAGCAAAACTTACAAGATATTAAAACTGCAGGCCCTCAGTCACAGGTTCTTTCTGGGGTAGTTGTGGACAGGAGTCTCGTACAGGTGAGAGCACAAGATGCCTAAAAATATTCAAGTTAATCGCTAATATCCTCTACTTTCACCTAATATGTCCCTGTAAAATTCTTTAATTGGCAGAAAGTAACTGTTTGTAAGGTAAGTGTTAGCGGTAACACCGTTGTCTTTGCAAGAGTGCTCAGGATGAGAAACTTAAGAGGCTTCAGTCATGTAGTTCAAGCATGTGTGTGGAGGATGCTCCTTGTTTATTTGGCTGAATGTAATGCATGAAATTCAAAAGGCTTATTGATATGGGTTAGATTCTTGTTCAAACCTAGTCAGGCCTTGTGACTACTTGTAGGTTTTTTTTGATTTGGTTGGTTTGTTTGTTTTTCTTCCAAGTTTATGTATCTTGAAGTATTAAATGCTAGACACACCAGTCTCATTTTGGGGCAGCAGTGTTGTGTGTTGAATATATTGTTATGTCTCACAATACTTTATTTGAGGAGCAATTAAAATAAAAGAGCTATTGTGCATCAATAAAACTTAAAAGCAATATATCTGGATATACTAAAGACATTATCTATGAATCATAGCTCCAAATAAGAGTTAGAGCTGCACAGTTATTCTGTTAAGCACCCCTGAATGACCTTTAAGCTCTGTATATCTGAGTGCTTTAAGTGCATCAGACAATATTTTCTGATCTGCTTTAAAGAGTTTGACTGTTCTTACCATGACAATAGCATTATTCATTTGGGTGTCATGTTATGTGCATGTCAATTCACTGTCACTGCAATTTTGTCTACCAGTTGTTCTTGTTTCTTTGCATGTTTTTTAGCAAGCATCATAATGCTCTTGGTTGATGTTTTAAAGCCCGGGCTCGGTTTGCTCTGTTTACTCGATTTACTGTTGCAGGATGCTCCCCTCTCAGACTGTACGGAAACTATTGAAGGGCTCGATCTCAAAGAGCAGGCCTTTAGTCCCGCTAAATCTCTGTCTGTTAGAAAGGTACTGCCCTGTCATACTGCTCTCAATACTGTTGTTCACCCTTCATTTACCTCTTCCTTACCCTTGACCTCTTCCCTTTGTTAGCTAATGATTTGGCGATAAAAGAATAAAATACATGGATCTCCAAATTATGGATATGCAATAATACAAGCAGTTAAGTTATCCTATAAAAGTATCCTGTAAGGATTTTGATTTCATATATTTATGTGTGTAAAAAAGCTGTGGAGGAAATATTTTTGATGTAAAAGTGCTCAATTAGGTTGTGCATGTAGTGGTATTTTTGAGCATGTTGTTAATTTTGAATTATTTGAATTTGAGATCCATTTGGAGCTAAGTTAGTCTCAGCCTGATTACATCAGTGTAATTCCAAAGATATCCACATGTTCAGGATGTGTCATGCTGACAAACACTGCCAGCTCTTAATCCTATGTTGCTAGATGCCTCGTGTTTCCTTAAAGCCTCCTGCAGTTCGAGTTGCTGAGCTCAGCAAAAGATGCTGGATAGTGCCCCACACCTTCAGCATATATTGGCTTTCAAACTCTTAATATAATCATATTTTGGCTTATATATTACAGTTTAAATACAGAGTAAACCCAATAGTTACATAGTTGGAGGGGGAATGAAGTCTCTTGAGGCTAAGTAAATAGGAACAGTTTCCATACTGGAAATAGTGTGTCCAGAGCTGTGTTATCCCAAGTTTTTTTTTTAGGAGTTGAGCAGAGGTGATGTAACATGCAAAAGCACAGGGTGTAGCTATGCATCAGGGTCTCTGTTCTGCTTCAGCATTTTCCTCTGAGTGTTTTAAATCTTCCTCTAAGCTGGTCTCACTATCAAAATAGCTTTCCCATCAAAAAGCAAAATAATTTGACTTGCGTTATAGCTGCAAACTTTGTGACTTTCCAACACTTTCTGGGGTAAACAACCAGTTTGTATTACAGTCTTTACCATACTCATGGTTTGATAAAAGTATTTTGGAGTATGAGTTGTTTTATCCATACCTGAAGAGAAGAATTGTAACATCTTCTTTCTAGTTTTAAGCCTTTAAAAAAAAAAAAAAAAAGGCAAATCCCCCAAAGCAACCTGCCCTTTGTTCTAGTGGCTTCTCTGTAACAGTACCTAAGCATCCATTGGTTATGGTAACACAAGCAAATTCTTTCACCAGTAATGTTCAAAGTATCTCTTAAGTATTCTGTTTGAGCAATTACATAAAAATACTTTTCATAAAATTACTCAAATAGCTTATAAGGATTTTTAAGGACAACAAGGAACCGAAAAACGAGGTTAGCTGGCTACATGATTTAGCTAATAATACAGTGTTCGAGTTCAGATGTCCAAGTGATGCATTCCCTCTTTGATGTTGTGAAAGTGCTTTTTTCCTGCCATACTGAGTAAAATTGGATTGTTCAGAATATCGGCTAGAGTAGGAGTAGCGAATTTCATATCATCTTAAATATTGAGACCAGAACACTTGAAGAGATTTTTGTTGCAAAAAATGCCACGCAAGTTTTTCAGAAAGATTATCCTCAAGATCAATGCCGTATTTCTTAGAGTTCCTGTTCCACAATCTTATGACACCCACCTAAATCTCACAATAAATGAAGCTTTAAGAAAGAAACCTAAATGTTAAGCTCCTTATGTACACTTACATACCCAATTAGATATTTTCAGTTGAAAAAATATTAGGCATTCATTTACAGTTTAATTAAATATTCTATCTCGGATTTCAGTAAGACTTAAAAGTATATTGTGCTTAACAATGAAATCAGTATCAACTACTAAAGCACACTACTATAGGGTGAAAAAAACTCCTACCTTTTGTACAGTATGCATGTAATGCTTTGAGTCTTGTCTGCCTACAGCTGCACTGGTAAATGCTCCATTTTGCCTTGTCATGCTCTGTCTCAGTGTCCCGAGGAGCCCTGGCCACGTTGCAATACCAGCTTCTTGCATACTCCATTTTATTAACGTGACAGACTTGGGTAACTGAGCTTCTGCTGCCTGAGAGAGAGAATCTTGATTATTCTTTCCACTGACTTTCTGCAATCTAATAAAATTTGCATGAATTTTAAGTACATGAGAATTTTGAGCACAAGGGAACAGCCTATTTCTTGCCTTTTAAAATGAAAATTCTATGGCTTAATGAATAGCCTCTTTGTACTGGCTCCAGAGGTGGTACTGCATTTTAATGGTGATTCCAAGTTCAATACTGCTTTAAGGATCTTGGCTTTCTGGAGGTACAGGCACTACATAAACGTATGAGGGTATTTAGAATGATTGTAAAGTTTGAGGTTAGTCAGTACTACGAATAAACTGTTCGATTAATGGAGAAATTGGCATGTACAAGGTACCATTTCTGTTCATCTCTGTCCCTAAGAATAAGGTCCAGCACTTGCTTGTTAAATGTTGGTAGTCTTGTATTTTTTTTTTTTTTTTGAAAGCAAGATACGGCAGAAAAGTTTCAACTGACTTGATAGTCTGGAATTTTCATGTAGGATGTGTGAAGTCCCAAACTTAGCATGAACATATCTGGAAGGTCTTTCTGGAAGGTTAGCTGCCACAAACTTCTCAAGAGTGAATATACATTCAGTGTATTTATAGGTGAATTTATGCATAATTTCTGATGAGGGAGAAACCACTGTTGTTTTTCAAGCATTTATGCAGGCAGTTGGGACTGCAATTTAGTCTGACCTAAATTAGGCCAGAATCGTCACCATCCAGCTGAAATCCCTTGCATTGGTGCTGTGCTGTTTGAAAGAACTGAGCGCCAGTCTGTTCTAGAGGAATTTATTCCCTCTCTACAGGGTCTCTGTTAGTGAAGGCTGCTCCAAACAATTTTCTGCTTAAATTTTTCCCTTCATTGTTCGTAGGAATCCCCAAGCTGCCTGGCCAGTTTGACAGCTTTACAACATCTTTCAGCTTCAGTATATATCAGTTTTGGTCTAAATGGTATAAAATATGTCCTGTCCTTTGAGTCTGTTATATTCTCTCTCCTTCTGTCCCATATTACTCTGCTGTTGTATAATTTTACTAATGTTCTGTGAAGGCTGCTCTATGGCTTGTTCTGTTAAGTAGCACATCTCTCTATCTTTGATTTCATCTAACTTAAAGTAATTGTAATTGTGTTGCAGAATTTATTAAATTAATTAAAACTTTTATTTGTTTTCCCCTCAGAAATTGTCCCTCCACCATCATAATTTTTTCACTGGTGGTCTTTGAGCTGCCTCTGTGCTACTGGTACTGACCAAAGCCAGACATGTTTTTCTGGAAGCAGCTTTAGCACATGCAAAGTTTCCCTTTCTTGACTGTCATGTAATTCTGCTTTTACAGTCCCAAAACACAAGTGTGTTTGTTTATCTGCTGTGATCTTATTATTTATTGTCTGTGGTCTTTCTCAGCATTATTTGAGTCCAAGATATTCCGCTGGTATAAATTCTGTTTAAAATTTAGTACATCAGTACACTTACATAGATATTTTTCCGTGGTGATGAATCTTTATTTCATATTCAACTTTTTAGATTCTTTTGTGTCATTTTCCTGTCTTTGGCATTGAATTTCTTAAGTGGTGGTCCTGAAGTGCTGGTTTGACTTCCCAATAGTTAACTAAGGTCTTCTCTTAAGGAGAAGCATTTAGAATGCCAGGGTACCACTCACCTTGCTGCAAGCTTCCTGCATTGCTGTCTGTTGCTGCTGCTTAATAGACATTCAGTAAAATTTGATTTCATGGGGAAGTTATTGTACTCAATCATTGTGGATTTATCCTGCAGACAAGTTTATAAGACTCCTAAATGTTTCAGGGTCACCAATGGGCACTGTATGTTTTATAAATATCAACTTCTCCGCTGGTTTCTGTAAACCTGGAATACTTTGTCTATATACTTGCCCATATGCTTGATAAGACCCTGTTACTTACTGCCAATATTTCAGTTAAAGGCCACCTATTTAGTTTGGAGAGAAGGCAGAAATAGAGGGACATCTAAAGTTGCAATGGGTACCAGTTTCTGCCATTATTAAAAGCTGGAGCCTGTAGTTTGGGGCAACAAGTTTTTATGTTACTTTACAAAAACAAATATAGTTGGTATAAAGGCTCATGGTTTTTGGCATATTTTAATGCATGATTCTGTAAGAAAAGCTGTAACTCAAATTTGAGGATTTCTAGGATTAAGACAGCAGGTGCTTAGTGAAAATAGCTCAGAACAGACTTTTGATGTTTGCTGACAGCCTGCATCTAAGATGAGTCCCTCTTGCTTTAGGGAGAAACAGAGGCATTTATAATGTTTTCTAAATGTTTCCTGTCAGGATCTTAGAGAGCTGTGGAAATGGTGCTTGTTCTTCAGTACTTCAGACTGCCATTAGCATCCCAGATAGAAGCAGATTCTAACAACCTCTCTTCCTATCTCCCTGGATTTCTCCAATAGAGTGCAGATTTCTGGAGGTCTCTTGTGAGACTTTAAGAAATACCTAACTGCTCTTTGCCTCATTCCACCTAGACATTCTTGTCTGGCACCTCTTTGGTGCTGATGTTTTGGCCTAAGCAGCTCTTTGCATCTGAAACAACACTTGGGCTTGTTTCATCTTCAGCTCTATGGTGAGGGTCTCCTGTCCATCAAGCATGGACATGGCATGGACTGCTCATCTGTCAGGAAGGTTCTCTTTATTCTTAAACTCTTCACATTTTTATACGTTTTTTTAAAAATATTGATACCAACATGAAGATGATTTAGACCAGTCAATATCCTGCATTACTTCGATAATGAAGTCCAGTGATGCCCTTGTTGGCAACGAAGACAATCTGGGAATTGCAATGAGCAGAAGCCCAGGTCACACACGTCATTTTCCACCTTAGGTCACCAGAGTCCTGAATATCACAAATTCTTAGACAAGTCGTCTGAGCTAATCCGCTGACTAATCTTTTGTGCCCAAGATGATGTGAAACCAGTGGCTTTAGTCTTCACTATGCACTTGGAGAAGAAAAAAACAAAAAAACTTACCCTTAGAGAGGGAATCTCTGATGCAGCTGCTTCTGTCCCTTGGGACTGCCTGTATTTTGAATTGCTAATACTTTATTTGTATAATTTTTAATCTATCTTGTATAACAGATGTTGCAGAAATAAACCAGCTAACTGACATTAATTTTATGTTAACCTGAATTACTTACAAACCGCTTAAACAGTTGATCTGGTGCACACAGATTATGTACAAGATGGTTTTTACTGCAAGATCTGTTAGATATTACATAAAAGCTACCAGAAATGGCTTTTCCCTTATTCAGATTCTCTTTGAACCCCTGAGCATTGGCCGCCAATCCTGCGGATTCCTGCAGGAGTCCCGCGCACGCGATGTGCCTTTGGGCCGAGTATCCTCTTTCTCCTGTGGGGAGTAAAAGAAACCTGATACTTCTGTGACTTCTGTGGCTAGGCTGTTGGCTGCTATTTGATTTGCTGCTTAACGTGGATATTGCCCAGTGAAAACACTGATGTCTTTGAGAATAATTGATGAGACCTGCTTTCTCCTTATTAACCTGTTGTAAACTTTAGAAAATCCCGAAATAGAGAATTTTATTCTTTAAATGCAAAAAGAAAGTAATACAGCATTTTTTAAAAATAACTTTTGTTTTGGTTTTGGCTGCTTTGTAACTAATGTATTTTCCAGCTCTCTGCAAGTTGCTGCTGTATTGCAGATGTATCTTAATTATTTCTTGCCAGGGAGAGCTGGTGACTGCGTCGAAGGCAATAATTGAGAAGGAGTATCAGCCCCGAGTCATCGTGAGCACAACAGGACCAAATCCCTTCAATAAGCTCACCGACCGAGAGCTGGAGGAGTATCGCAAGGAAGTGGAGAGGAAGCAGAAGGGCCCGGAAGGTTGGTTGCCCGTGCGTCCTGTTCTGCGGTGGTGTGACAGCAGCACCGTTCATCACCAGCTCGGGTTGGGGGTTACCTGCCGAGGTCATGGGAAAGTTGGGCAGCTCTTGTATTTCGCTGTCTTTCCAGGGGAAGCTATGAACTTACAAAGCATGCTGATTGCAGAAAGTGCAATTTAAGTGTTATGGGATATTCTGTAAAATGTATAGAAATTTTTATTTGGAAATTTTTCCTGGTAGCCAAAAGTGGGTGTTTAGCATGGCCAGTTACTGCTGCTGCTGAGTTCTGGAAATTGTGAAACTTTACTCATGAAAATGTTCAGGTCCTGTCAAGTACTGCAGGTTGCTCTGTTTCCCTTAGCCCCGGGGCTAGCGCTGTTGGTTTTTTGCCGCAAAACTACCATTCTCTATCTTGCTGGAATTAGTAGACCCAAAAATTCTGAATTGGGAGGTGCAGAACAAAACTCGATTGCGCCTTGGAGCTGGCCCATCCTGCGGGCTCCCCAGAAACACAGATTTCCCAAATGCTGATAAAATTGTGGATCATGCTGTAAAGAGATCAGTGCTACATCTGATGTAATTACACCATTTTACTTGCTTTTAAGCTTTATGGGGTTCCACTCATGATGTTTCTACCAGTGTGTTATGGTTTGAATCGGAATGATGCAGGACCTACCTTGCAGTGTGTGCTCCCTTTTGGATAACTCGTCGTAGATTGTGTATGTTCAATTACACAAGTTTTGGGCCGTGTGAGGGACGGGGATGCTGTGCTGTTGTGCCTGTGTAACTGCCTACCTTTATTCTCTCAGTAACATTGCTGCATCCTTCTTAGATAAGGTTTCAAAATATGGAGAGACTGTGTTACTGAGACAGACACCAGCTGGGGAACAGAGTACTTTGCTTAGAAATCAGAACATCAGTGAGCAAAATACTTCAAATAAGTCTCTGGATTTGAAAGGCAGATCCAAAACCTTTCAAGGAGCAGATACGAAGACTGTGCAGGATCGTGAAGTGTCATCACTGTCTAAGTCTTTAGATAACACTCAGTTTGCTGCTGCATGGGTTGCTTGTCAGACCACGCAGCAAGTCACCACACATCTTAACCAAGAAGAGCCAGATGTGCAGAAGTCACCTCATAAGGAATTTCACACTGCAGTGATCAAAGCATTAAGGTCTAATCCTGACCTCTTGGCTGAGGCCTCAGGTATTATGAATATGGTATAGTTGTGCTTGCAATCTGAGGAACAAAATCTTTATTTGCCCCATTTGGAGATTGTGTCCGTTGACTCCGTTACCTGTGGGACTGATTTCCCTATGTAATTGTGCAGGTGAACTGTATGGAGCGATGGTTTGGTTTGTTCCTGAGGCGAGGTCTCCTCTGCTAATGTTTTCTTTCGCCTCTAGGGCTATTAAAACCTGAAAGCAAGGGGTATCCTCCTTACTAATAATATATGTGCAAACCACTGCAAAATCTGTTTTGAATCATTTAATTACTGCATGTTTTTCTGATTATCTACTCAGTCTCTCATTCTTTTCGTTTGGTATGCAATTTTGTTTTCTCTGAGATCCAGCAAATGGTTCAAAGCAAGCAAAAGAACACTGTTTTGTGCAAGTCCAGTAGCATTTTTAACAATGTATTTGTTTATATTTTGCTTATTTTTGCCTTAATACTTCTCAAATAGTCTGCTATACTAGTTTACAAACAATTATGTTGTTGGGCCATTCTGTGGTGGGGGGCAGGAGACACAAAAACAAATCCAAACTCTAACCTCAACACTTTTGTTAAAAAAGCATCACTTTTCTTTTGCTTGTTTTGGTGTTATTAAATATCGTAACAGAATTTTGATTAAAAAAACAAATATTCATTTGAGGAGGGGGGTGAGAATGGCCCTTTACTTACAACATGCTAAAATACTTTTCCATTTCTTTTTTCTGCTACCTGCTGCTGTTGTGCGCGCGCAGAAGCCTCAGAAGAGGGCCGAGCCCAGCAGGAGAGGAGCCCCGCAGACCCCGCTGCCGCCCGCACTCCTCCCAGCACGCCCATCAAAGCAGAGGAAGGTAACGTGGGGGAGGCCCTTTCCTTGGGGCAGGGGAAACCAGTAACCGCATCATTAGCGACTGACGCATGACAGTGTATGAGCTAGTAACTAATAAAGGTAAATTACTACCTGTGTTTTACTTCTGTAGACTCGAAGTACAATAGGGGTTATGTTTACAATAATAAAGAAGTGTGCATTAACATAACAACAAATTATCACCCTTTCCAAATTGCCTTGTTCTGTCCTGGTCTTTCTCAAATGAAAGCCCCATTTGTACATTTTCTGCAAGAGAGAAGTGCTCTTTAAAAGTAAAACAATGTCTGAATCAGTCAGTCATAAATTAGACCGTTTCATAACTCTCCTTTGCTGACTGCACATTTCTTAAGTGTTATTGTACTTGGATTACACCTCAGTAAATATTTTTCTAACTCAATTTGAATCTCAGCATTATTAGTCGCTAACCTTATATATTAGTTCTAACTAAAATGAAAGCAGGGCTGGCTGCAATTGCCTCAAAAGAAGAAAACAAAAAAATATCTTGAACGGGTGTAATCTAATTCTTGTCTCGTTTCCTTTCCCTTGTACATTGGGTGTATCACTTGTCTGTTGAAGTCTTCCATTCACTACTCCATCTCATTCCATTTCCTATAAGAATGGTTGCAACCATTCTTCTGATTTAACACGATGGCTGTGATGAATGCATAGATTCTCTACTTGTGCTTTTTTCTTCTTGTGGCTGCGTTACAAACAGGAGATGGATATGCTAAAGAGTACCTGTTACCATAGTAAGTATCATTCCATACTCTGACCTGCTTTTGTGCTTTGCTTTGCTCTTGTGTTTTTGTTTACTGAGTGTTTTTACTTTTTGGTTTTGCTTTTGTTTTGCATTCAAAAGCAGACTCTTCTCAGATGAGACCCTGATTTCTTTAGTTGTTAATATCCTGAAATCCTAGTTAGTCACAGATGTTCACGTTAAAATGCACTCCCCTTTTAAAGGGAACTGCAGAAGTGACATTGTGTGTCTCCATATTTGTGTCTTTGACTCCTCATAGTTTGGAAGGGAATAGTCTGGAGCTGTCTTTCAGACATAGCTAAAACAGCTTTGGGAGTTTCTGCCCCACGAGTTGGCTGCTGCCCGTAGAGCTTAGACCTGATAATGAAATGTTTCAGAGTTCCCAACCCATTTCAGTGCAGAAGTGCTCTCGCTGCTGTGTTCAGCTCATCCAGCTGCCTTCTGCGTGGATGGGGGATGGAACTGCTCCGGGTACACGTTACATACGTGTGAGCTGGAGGGGGATCCCACTCTCAGCTGAGGAGTCACGGTCGGTAGTTGGTGGCAGGAACTCCCCCAGCTGCTTCAGCGAGCGCTGCGGGACTGCGCCAGACTGTGTTCTTAACTAGGCTGCCGAGTAACCTGTTTGGCTCCCTCTGTTTTCGTGTCCTGTTCTGTCTGAAAGTCAGTGTTTTGTAGTTGTCCAGGATACGAAAGTCAAAACTGCGTCCTCGACAACTGTGACATTGCTAATAAATTTCTAAAATGTGTTGAATTGAAAATTCAGAGAACTGTGCTCTCTGAGTCTTCAAGATATGCAAGTTTTGAGGACAAACAAATGAACTTTATTTCCACACTGGAGTACCGAGGAGCTAATGCCCCAACAGCTCCTGTGGGCAGGAGTTTTGTGGGATGATGGTGCTCTCTGCAGGGAGACTCCACTCAAACTCTTCTTATTTTAGAGCTGCTGGAATCAGAAATGTTTTGTGTTAACTCAGGGCATAGCTCGTATGTGTGTGTCTACATTTGTTCATGTTGGGTACAAAAATCACCTTTTGTTTTCAAAAATACTCTGAATTGTAAATATGAACATCAGTGATATTTTCAAAACTCCCTTCTGCCATTGTGGATGTTTGCAAAGGGGAAGCCCGGATGTAGACACAATTTCTGTCCCAAATCCTTCTGCAACTCGCAGTGGGGTTGAGTTCTGAAAATGTGTGTAGGTTTTGCAGCACAGTTTCTTTTCATAGAACCACAGAATGGTTGAGGTTGGAAGGGACTCTAGAGATCATCCAGTCCAACCTCCTTGCTCAAGCAGGGTCCCCTAGAGCACGTGGCACAGGGTGGCATCCAGCCGGGTTTTGATGATCTCCAGAGAAGGAGACTCCACAACCTCTCTGGGCAGCCTGTTCCAGGGCTCTGTCACCCTCACAGGAAAGAAATTTTTCCTTAAGTTCCTGAGGAACTTTTGGTGTTTCAGTTTGTGGCCGTTTAGTCCTGTCGGTGGCCACCACTGAAAAGAGGCCAGCACCACCCTCGTCACTGCCTCCCTTGAGGTACTTATAGACACTGATTAGATCCCCTCTCAGCCT